AGATGACATAGCTGCTTTGAAAGTTTGAGGGTCATTTTCAAGTAAGAATGTCACAAAATCTGGTCCAAAGGAGGTGGATGTTCTTTGACGTTTGCTATGCCTTGGATCCTCTTCACTGGGAGTAATTTCCTTTAGTTCTTCCCGTGGTCGTTCAGATCTTTCACTTAACGACTCACATTCAATTTTATATGGATAGATGCTTTCAAAGAATTCAGCATCATATGATTCAATTACCATAATAACATAAATTTCGGGATTATTAGATTTATGAACCAAAAACCGATATGCTTTACTGTTTGTAGCATATCCAATAAAAACACAATCCATAGTTTTTGGTCTGATCTTTACCCTTTTGGGTAAAGGTACTTGTACCTTTGCTAAGCACCCCCATACTTTGAAATATTTTAAGTTGGGTTTTCTTTCTTTCCATTTTTCATATGGAATAGATTGTATTTTTATATGGGTACTATGTTGAGTATTCGGTTAGCTGTAAGGGTAGCTTCCCTCCACAAATTCTGCGGTAAACCGGAACTCCCACAAATTCTGCGGTAAACCGGAACTTATTAATAAAGCATTCATCATTTCCTTTAATGTCCAATTTTACCTTTTCGCAATTCCATTGGATTGAGGTGTGTAGGGGGCAGTAATTTGATGGATAATTCCATATTCCGAACATATTTATGCAAACGGAGATTCATATTCTCCACTCTCACTTCTAATTATTTTAATATTTTTATTCAATTGATTCTCCACTTCATTCTTGTATTGTTTAAATGATTCAATTGTTTCATCCTTACTATTAAGGAAATAAATATAAAAATATCGAGTACAATCGTCAATAAAAGTTATAAAATACTTTTTCCCACCACGAGATGGTGTTGACTTCATATCACAAATGTCAATATAAATTAAGTCTAAAGGATTTGAATTCCTTTCAACAGACTTATAAGGATGTTTTACAAACTTAGATTCAACGCATATTTGACATTTTAATTTATTACGCTCGAATTTAGGCAATACTTCTAAATTGATTAACTTCCGCAATGTTTTGTAATTGACATGTCCTAAACGAATATGTCATAAATTATTTGACTCCAATAAATAAGAAGAAGCTGAAATTTTATTAATAATGTCAACATCCATTACATTGAGTTTGAAAAGGGCCTCTATGAGATAACTCTTTACAACATACATATCATTATTGCTTACAACAACTTTGTCAGATACAAATACACATTCGAATCCATTCTTAACAAGTAAAGAAGTTGAAACTAAATAGTTCCTAATAGTAGGAACATGAAGAATGTTGTTGAGCGTTAAAACCTTGTCGGGAGTTATCTTCAAGAATATCCTCTCATAACCCTCAATCTTGGCTGCTGCAGTATTTCCCACGAAAGCTCTTCTTCGGGACCAGCAGTGGAGTAAATCGCAAATGCTTCTTTGACACCACAAACACATCGACTGACTCCAGAGTCAATGCACCACTCATTCAGATTTTCAACTAAGTTGCATTCCGAAAGCATTGCACACAGATCATCAATGTTATCATTTTTCTCCACTATGTTGGCCTGCCCCTTTTTCTTGTCCTTTTTCGAGAGACGACAATCAGGGGCTTTGTGACCAGCTTTTTCACAATTCTAGCAGTTGCCCTTGAATTTCTTCTTGTTCTACTCCTTAGTCTGTCCAGAAGACCTCTTTCTCTTCTTACTTTTTGGAGCAGTCTCCTCAACGATATTAGCTTTCAAAATCGTTGAATTTTCACGAGACTTCTTCTCGGATGTTTTGTTATCTTCCTCAATCTTGAGACAAATCACAAGATCTTCTAACTTCATTTCTTTGCGCTTGTGCTTTAGATAGTTTTGAAATCTCTCCACGAAGGAGACAAATTTTTAATCGTTGCAGCCACTTGAAATGCTTCATTCACTACTACCTTCAGCAATAAGGTCGTAAAAAATAAGTTGAAGCTCTTGAACTTGGGTTCCAACGGTTTTCAGTCTATCATTTAATAGTCTAGAAACTTGGCAACCATAAACTTTTTCAAGCATGCATCTTCAGTCTTGTACTTCTTCTCAAGTGCGTCCCATAATTCTTTCGAGGTACTCATAGCACTGTAGACATTGTACAAGTCATCCTCCAAAGCACTTAGGATGTAGCCTTTGCAAAGAAAATCTGCATGTTTCCACGCCTCAACAATCATAAACTTCTCATTGTCTGGCATGTCGGTGGCAGGCACTGGAGGGTCTTCACTGGTGAACTTCTTCATACCAAGTATGGTAAGCCAAAAGAACACCCTTTGCTGCCATCCTTTGAAGTTGGCTCCAGAAAATTTTTCCGGATTTTCAGCCGGTGGTACAATAGTTCGACTTGACGAGGCTATCGTTGTTGCCACAACAGTCGCAAAAGAATTTCCATTATCAATTGTCATTTCTCACTTTCCACGATAGAAGAGTTCAATTATTGGCAGAAAATATACTATAATTAATGATAAACAGTACGTTTAGTAAACAAAAACCAAAGTTTTGTATATACCGTTTCAAAATAAAACGATGAAGTTTTTACGTTCTTCAAATCGTTTCTGTATTTTAAAACTCCGACGAAGTTTTTATATCTTCAAATCAGAAATAGAAAAATTCAGACGGAGTAAAAACCACAAAGGTTTTAATCTCCAAAGTAGAATATAGATTACACTATATTAATAATTTCCTTAAGATTGTTAGTCAAACTGTAATGCTATAATATAAAGAAACAGTAATATTTCCGTAACAGGAAAAACAGAAACAGAAAAATAGTAGTATAACAGAAATGTATATAATCAGAAGCAGAATCTGAAAATATATTTCAGAATAAAAAAATCAAGCCCACTGAATGCACAGTGTGTCTTTAAGTCTTTAAGGAAATTATTCCCCTAAAGTACCCGAGGTTTGGAATATTATCCTCCCAAGATAGAACGATTTAACTCACAAGTGTATTGGTACCAAAAACTCTAATGAACTTCGAACCACTTAATGGTTGTAAAACACACTGGAGAATTTCGTGCAGAAGAAGAAGATAAGAAAATTTCGTAAGGAAAGATTTTGGGATCAAGATATATTTATAGCCATTTTCCGGCATTGTTTCTGAAAAGGTTTTCAACCTTTCAGAAATAGTCATGGTTGTTGGAACAGGCTGGAACGATTCCCGTTTAAAATATTTCGGGAAATTCATTTAAAATAATCCGGGAAAGAAATGGATCGGGTTGCGTTGCGAGTCCTGGGTTATTCCGGGTCGACTTTTCGAAGCCGAAGCCGAAGCCGAGCGAGCGATGATCACGGCGCGAGGCTTACTTTCTTTCCAACCTATTTGACACCAAGGGAAGTGCTTTCTCAATATAAGCACATTCACTTTTTCTCCCACTACCAATGAGGGATACTTTCTCTTTCCAAAGCAAAATGAAGCTCACTTTCCCTTCACTTTCTTCCCTCCATTTTCCATTCACCAATCTTTTAATCCCGACATGCTTTCTATAAAAAATAAGGTAGTCCAATGCACTAAGCTCCCGTTATGGGCAGGGTTCAGGGAAGTGTCGGACCACAAGGGTCTATTGTAAGCAGCCTTAGCCTGCATTTTTGCAAGAGACTATTTCCACGACTTAAACCCCGTGACCTCCTAGTTACATGTCAGCAACTTTACCAGTTACGCCAAAACTCCCTTCTACTTGTGCGCTTTCTATGATATCTTATAATCTTTCAAGAAAATTCATAGACCTTTGACTAGGAATCACCCACAAAAGTTGAGTCCTCCAACCAACTTCCTATTTGATGTAATCACAAACAATCCTTTATTTGTAAACTCCATAAATTCACAATCCATCCCATCTTTTCTGTGCTAAAATAGAACATCCTTATCTTAAGGTCTGAGTTCAATCCTTCAAACCACATACTTCCATTATCATTTTCCAGCTCAAAATACCTCAAGAGTAAATTAAAAACTTTGGTCGGCAAGATAAGCATGATTATTAACTGAAAAATTACACAAACAAAGGAGAACAACCCAATTGCCTCATTTATCATCATGTATTACCCCTTTTCTATATCAATCGGTTCATCCTCCTAATTGGCATCATACTATGTAAAGACACCATTATCAAAACAATAGTTACTCAACATATCATAATCCATAAGCTATTAATAACTTCCGAAACTATTTGACATCCTTGCAATGCAGCTCTTTCGCAGACTCTGCCTGAACGCGAGATGCTCCTTTTTTTAGCACTACCTAACTTTTTTCTCCAAATTTTGGGATCACCTTAAAATTTTAAGAAAACAATCTCCATAAGCAGTTACAATTTAATAAATTATGGCTATTACATCTAATGAGAATTGTGATAAAACTATTATTTAATAGGGACTCACAGTTGGAGGTACAATTCTCGTAGTTTTTGCTATTGTTAATCTATTTATGATATCTGGTACATTTTTTTAAGGTACAAGTTTTGCTATTTTGACCTATTTTTAGCGTTGCAAATTTTGAGAACTGCACGATTAGTGTATCTATTGCCACGGTTTTGGAATAGTTGTCATAGGCGTAATTTTTAGTAGTGATTATTTATGGTTAATTATTTTTTATAGTATTAAATCTAACAACCAAAATTTATTAAATATTTAAGGGAGATCGGAAGTGCTCATTCTTTTTATAAAAACTTAAAGGACTAACGTTGCTTAGAATATATTTAGGGATCGTTTGGTGCGCGGACTATATTATCCCGAGATTATAATTTTTGAACTATTTTATTCCATTTGGAGGTAGGATAAAATAATCCCAAGTTTGATAGGATAAGGTGGTATATTAAGTCTGAGATTAAATTTATATATTTGGTTGGGACCATAAATTTATCCAAACACGATATAAATTTTAATCCCACCTCTTATCCTACTTTGTCCCGCATACCAAACGACCCCTTAAAGGATTAATTTAAAAACTATTCCAAACATAAGGATTACTTTACAAATTTTCTCACTCATTGAATAAAAAATTTCCCAAATTCATTCAGATTACCAGAACCAAAGTCCCTGTTTAACCACAACCCACCCGGCCTTGCTTTTTTCCATAGCTAAATCTCTCCCTTCTTCACATCGTTCAGTGTTTGACTGAATTTCCTCGTCGTTTTCTCGGTGTGACCCCTCTACCCCTCTCTCTCTCCCCCTTCCTCCCTTTGGGGTCGCGCCAATTCACACACACACACACAGTTTCTCTTTGTATTTTGTTCCCAATTCACACACACACAATTTCAATCGTAAAAGGAAGGTCTTTTGAATCTCATCAATGGCGACAGAGATGGCACAACCAGATGCAGAAGGGATCGACGGAGTTCGAATGACATGGAACTCATGGCCACGCACAAAAGTTGAATCAAGCAAGTGCGTGATCCCAATCGCTACCTCGATCCACTTGATCCGTCCTCATACCGATCTCCCTACGCTCTCTTACCCGCCGCTCAAATGCAAAACTTGCTCCTCAGTTCTCAATCCTTTCGCTCGGGTTGATTTTCAAGCCCTAATTTGGATCTGTCCTTTTTGCTTTCAACGTAACCATTTTCCTCATCATTATTCGGGAATTAATGAAACTAATGTTCCTGCTGAACTTTATCCTCAGTTCACCACAATTCAATACACTCTCCCTAACCCGAATCCGAACCCGACTCAAAACCCTAACCCGGTGGATTTTTCGATTTCGCCAATTTATTTGTTCGTTTTGGACACATGTATGTTGGAGGAGGAATTGGAATTCGCAAAATCCGCATTGAAACGAGCGATCGGGATGTTACCGGATAATGCTATGGTAGGGTTTATATCGTATGGTACGCAGGTCCAGGTGCATGAGCTAGGGTTTTCGGATATGTCGAAGGTTTATGTTTTTCGGGGATCGAAAGAGTTGTCTAAAGATCATGTTTTGGATCAATTGGGCCTTGGAAGTAGTGTTGGTGGAAGACGGGCCGGTCCTGGCCCGATTGGGGCTCCCAGTATTGGTGTTACCAGATTCTTATTGCCTGCCTCGGAGTGTGAATATACCTTGAATTCTGTCCGTTTCAACTTGGCAATTATTTATTTGTCTTTTTATTTTGATGTATATTGACTTGTTTTGGCGCATTGTTATTTTGTAGTTGTTAGATGAATTGAGCACGGATCAATGGCCAGTCCCACAGGGAAATAGAGCGTTACGCTGCACTGGTGTGGCTTTGAGTGTAGCTGCCGGATTGCTTGGAGCTTGTTTGGCTGGTGCCGGTGCTCGGATCGTGGCCTTAGTGGGCGGTCCATGCACAGAGGGACCTGGAGCGGTGAGCCTTTGAATCTGTTTTCACTCTGTTTTGTGCTTGTCATATCACCAAGACTCCCACATTACCCGTCTCCCCAACCCAAAGAAGAAAAAGGCTCTCATTGTTCTTTTTGATAAGTAAGATAATTTTAACCTTATCAAAAAGTAAGGTAATTTTATAAATGAAAACCAGCATCAAGTGATTGCTGGTGTATGGAGACAGTTAGAACCAAAAGAAGTGTTCTGACTGACTGCCACTTAAATGTTCTTCTAAGGCTCATGAAAAGATGCATTCACTCTGTCTTTTGCCTAATTTTTGAGGCTAAAAGCCATAATCTTGAAAATTGTTTTGAGTCCGATTAGAGACCTGCATCGTTATGAGAATGGCACTTAATTGGATTCTTAATGGAGAAAAAACAATTTTTTTTGTCTCTGTTGCCATTTGTCACCTGGCTAAATTGAATCCTTATTACTGATGAATTTCAATGCCTTTTTCCTATTCTTTGACTTATCTCCTCGTTTTTGCAGATTGTGTCAAAAGATCTTTCAGAACCAGTTCGTTCTCATAAGGATCTGCACAAGGATGCAGCACCCTTTTTCAAAAAGGCAGTCAATTTCTATGAGGAACTTGCAAAGCAGCTTGTTAGTCAAGGTCACGTCTTGGATGTGTTTGCTTCAGCACTTGATCAGGTTTGTCTCTGTGTTAGCTTTGTCATGGTGACACTTCTGTTATGTGTCATAGAATCTTATAAGTGAAGGTGCTGGTATTTCTCTAGTTACTAATCATGCATTTGATCCTGAAATTCATTTACAGTTATGCTGGATTCTTAAAGCTACGACATGTGAATTTTTTTATTAACTGATTGAACAAATGTTCCAACATTTGAGCATCATACACGTGGTGCGACATATTGGGCTGAGCGTAATAAGTTGTATCATGTGTATATTTATTTTGTTTCCTTATTGGTGTGTTATGCACGTAACTTGAGAGGTTAACTGAGACTGATTAATGCTGCTCGTGAATTGGCTATAGATGATGTCATGTTTACCAATAACAATTTTGTGTTTCAGGTTGGAGTTGCTGAGATGAAAGTAGCTATTGAAAAAACTGGAGGACTAGTTGTTCTAGCTGAAAGTTTTGGTCATTCTGTCTTCAAAGATTCATTCAAGCACATCTTCGAAGATGGTGAACAGTCTCTTGGGCTGTCCTTCAAGTGAGCTTCCTGAGATGTTATTCTATTTTGTCTCATTTGCAAAGTACGCTATTTTTGCTATGTTTTCAATATGGCCGTTTTGACCGTGGAAAGATTTCCAACTTTATGGACGGGACTATCATACTTCTAGAGGCCCTAAAGCGAAAATTGTCTATAATATAAGATATATTTGTTTGAAGGTTGTTTTTTGTGTCCAAGCTGTACACCAGCGAGGGGGGTTTACATAGATAAAGGAAGAGCATGGGTTAAAGTTCTCAGCATATGTGAATAGAAAAGAATCTGCCTTGCCTTGTGATAGATGCAGTGCATAGAAAATGAATTCAATGAAGAAATTGATAGTAACTGACGGGTTGTTACTTAGTTGTCAACTTGAAGCTATATATCCAACTTTCTTACCTGTAAATATGTTGTTCCAAGTAAATTCAGCATCAACTTGAAATATCCAGTTGAAATCCTCACACTCTAGTTAATTGATTTAGTTGGGTCTTAAGGGACTTGATGCTCCCAAGTATGTGGCCAAGTGATCAATAAAATGGATTGAGAACCATGAGGTCTCAGGTTAAATCAGGGGAGGCAAAAAATGCTACGCGATTCTTCTAATCTATCCGATCCTTGGTGGATAGAGTTACCTGGTACTTGTGCTAGTAGGAGATAGCAGGTACCCTCTCGACTATGGAAGTAGTCGAAGTGCGCGTAAATTACGGTTATCTAAAAGATAAAACCTTAAGGGACTTGAAAGAGTGGTTATACCTTAGAGAGGAAGTTTTGGTGCATGTCTTCTGGTGTGTTCTATTTATAGTTGGCTTCCTTTCTCTTATTGCATTTTCCACTATGATAAAATACTAAACCCTGGAACGCTCTTTTCTCTCCACATCCATCCCCAACACAAAAAGGAGATATACCTTGGTAAGTTGGGGAACTTTCATTATGCAAGTGATTCCCATGAATTGTACTCTTACAGAAGAATGTATTTTAATTCATATTATTTGTACTTTGAGCAGCATAAATATTGTGTAGGACTCTCTCTCTACTGCGATAGATTCATTTTATCAATGATTTTGTCAATGAATATGATTACAGAAGAATGTATTTTAATTCATATTATTTGTACTTTGAGCAGCATAAATATTGGGTAGGACTCTCTCTCTACTGCGATAGATTCATTTTATCAATGATTTTGTCAATGAATATGATGCATTAAATTGTTTCAGTGGTACATTAGAGATCAACTGCTCTAAGGACATTAAAATTCAGGGGATAATTGGACCATGCACATCTTTAGAGAAGGTTAGTTCAATAAACTTTTGCATATTATCAGTAGTGAGTTATTACCTAATGTTACACAGTTAAGATGTATTATGAGAGCTTGATCTCCTGCAAAACAAAAGTTAACTCTTCTAGTTACAGTTTTGACAGTTGATATTGATAATTTGGTGCTATGCAGAAAGGACCTGCTGTTTCCAGCACGGTTATTGGTGAGGGGAATACTACTGCTTGGAAGCTGTGCGGTCTCGACAAAAACACTTGCTTGACTGTTTTCTTTGATGTTTCATCTAGTGAGAAATCAGACCCTTCAGGCAATCAAAATCCACAATTGTACATACAGTTTCTCACGAGGTACTTGGATCATAAGGAACATTCGCCTCTATTTCTTTCTTATCATTTAGTATAAAAAGAAATTATTACTGCTGAGATTTTGTTATTATTTGATGGATAGGAGATGTGTACTTTATATCCACTGTTTCTCCTCTTGAACAAGTATATATAGTAGGGCAGAAGAGTTACCATGTAACTATTGTTGGTTTTGATGTAAATGCAGTTATCAGAGCCACGATGGTCAAACAAAACTACGCGTCACGACCATTACGAGAAGATGGGTTGATGCTGCTGTTAGCACTGAGGTGTGCGACTGAAAGTTTAAGCTAGAAATATCATTTTTTAGAATAACTTCCGTTACGGTTCTCTTCTGTATAGCTCCAAACCCGAATGTTTTTTTCCCAAGCATAGAGAGTAATGTTACTTCTGAGTAGTGCTCTGTGTGGCAGTTCTTTTTGTTTACTTGAGATTGCATTTAGGATAGAAAAAAAGTCTGATTACCCTCAATTCCCCTGGCCCCAAAAACAAGGAAATAAGGAAAGAAAAATTAAAGAGAGCGGGGGGGGGGGGGGGGGATTAAGAGATTGAAAAGGGAATATAATGTATTATAAACATGTGAAGCAGGATCACATTATTCATTCTATTTCATGCGAGTTAATTTTCTATTTAATTCATCCTAAATGTTTGGCATTTCTGTAATTTTGATGAGTCAATCACCCAACAATCTCAAATTCAGTTGAAAGTCCAATAAAATATTTTCTCCATCGAACTCTTTTTTCCAACAAGAACTATTGAGGATAAGCTTGTCTATTGTTTAATAATATTTCCATGTAGATATATCTGAAAATTGTTATTTTGATAGATTCTCTGTATTCCTCTCAAAGTCCTCTGAGAAGAGCTTCCTGCAAAGGGTATCTCGATGAAGGAGAATTTCCCTTTTGGGTTTTGCTCTTGCTTCTGAGGAATTCTTTTGTTTGGACTTTGAGGGGACCATATGAGTGTTTGTTAAGCTTGACACTGCAATAAATCTATTTTCTCAGGAATTGGTGCAAGGATTTGATCAAGAGGCTGCTGCGGTTGTAATGGCTAGATTAGCTTCTTACAAAATGGAGATGGAGGTATCTTCTCTAGACTATCATTTGTTCTGCACAAAGTTTTACAGTAATCAGAGAGTAACGGCATATATGTGAATGCCTACTTAGTTTCATTATTTTATTTGTTGGCCTTATTAATTCCTCATGGTAGTCTTGTTATTCTTTGGTAAATGGCAAAGCAACAAGGTTAGTAGAGTATGCTTGAAGTAGGGAAGAATTTATCCTTAAAAACATGAATTGTGGTGAAGTATGCGAATTCTTTAGGATTTGCCAATATACGGGTTCTAAAGTTTCTCTGCGCTGAACATACTGGATTCAGTTTTCCTCCATTGCAGGCATTGAAGCATCTGTTTACCATAGCATGCCTGAACTTCATAATATCCCTCTTCTCGTTTCTGTTTTATTGATAAATCTGGCTAACTGATTTCAGGAAGATTTTGATGCCACAAGGTGGCTAGATCGGAATCTCATTCGTCTATGCGCCAAGTTTGGTGACTATCGGAAGGATGACCCCAGCTCTTTCACTTTGAATCCCTCTTTTTCATTGTTCCCTCAATTCATGTTTCATTTACGGCGATCCCAATTCTTACAAGTAATATTCCTCTGGATGTTCTTTCTTTTCTGTGTCACTAACTTAACAAATTGATGTCATGGATGTACAAGTTCTTAATTCTTACTAATGTATGGGTGGCACAGGTGTTCAATAATAGTCCAGATGAGACGGCATATTTCCGCATGTTGCTCAACCGAGAGGGCATAAGCAATGCTGCTGTCATGATTCAGCCAACACTAACGGCATTCCAATTCAATTCACTGCCTGCCCCGGCCTTGCTGGATGTGGCATCGATTGCAGCTGACCGCATTCTTTTGTTGGATGCTTATTTCAGTGTAGTTATTTTCCATGGAATGACAATAGCTCAATGGAGAAACATGGGATACCAAAACCAGCCTGAGCACCAGGTAGGCCTCACGTTTTCTGTCATCCAGTGTTATTATTTTGTTGTCTTATTTGTGGTAGCTTCAGTCTGCCGGTGCTTCATGATGAGATCCTGTGTTTTAGCCTTCTCACGTTAAATGAGGAAAACTAGGACATCTCTTCTTCATTCCTCAAGCATGCAGTATTTGTGCTGAACTAGCATGATGTAGTTTCATAATGTGTTTTTGAAACAAAGATATGTATTCTTTCCTCCTTTCTCCTCTTTTCAGGCATTTGCACAGCTGTTGCAAGTTCCACATGATGAGGCCCAAGCAATCATCCGTGAGAGGTTTCCTGTTCCAAGACTGGTGGTGTGTGATCAACATGGCTCCCAGGTAATGAATGCATTTTTCAATTTAATTTTTGCTGCCTTGTGCGATGTGTAAATGCCCACTTGCCTGTTAAGGAGTAGGATCTACTTTAAGTTCCTCATTAGGAAATGCAAGGATCAGTAACTTCCATCATATCACTAAGTGATGAAGTAGCATGAATATGAGGTTTTCTCTGCATAGTCTTGTTTGCTTTTTGGAATCCCTATTTTTAAAGAATCTTTTGAAGTGATTCTTACTCTGTATTCTTCTGGTATGAGGTAGCATTTCCTGAGAAAGAATTGGACAGCAGGCTGTACCTAAAAAGCTGAAAATTTACATTTGTCTTCTTGTGGTTACTGGCTCTTTTTGTTCTTAATTGGAATGTAAATGTGACATCTTCACTCATGCTGGACAGGCAAGATTCCTTTTGGCAAAATTGAATCCATCTGCCACGTACAATAATGCAAATGATATGGCAGCTGGATCAGACGTGATCTTTACAGACGATGTGAGTCTTCAAGTGTTCTTTGAGCATCTTCAGCGGCTGGCAGTGCAATCTTCTTGATAAGAGAAGAAAGATGGCTGTTAATGCTTGTTCCGATTATGTGAAGATCTTATTGAGTTCGCCTGATCTACCCTGGCAGCTTCTCGTGAAAGTTCATGATTTTGTTTTCATCATCCATAAGATGAGAGGTCAGACCAAGATATTATATGGAAACTAGGACTACATATGACATTCTTTCAGGTATAGGGAGGTACTTTTGCTTCCTTTAAAAATAACGGGTAATGCAACTTTTTGTTGTCTTTAATTATATGAGAAGGGGGTTATATTTTAAGTCGAATGTCGTGTGCTCCCTCAGGCTGTTGAGTGAGAAGATAATTTATGTCGGGAACTTCTTTTTTGTTAGTCATTACGAGGCAAGTAGTTTGTGTCTGCTTTTGTATTGAATTCGTAGTTGTAGTTGATTGGATTAAGGCTTGTAGGTCAGGATGTCTTTGAAGACACTGCTTATTTTGGGCTTAATTTATAATTTAAAGTATCAGATATACATGCATGGACATTTGCTTCCTTTATTTGATGTTACGCAAGTATCAGAGCTGGCCAATGCGCTTGCACGCCCCACTCTATTTGACTGATTTTATAATTAAATTTGGGTTCCATATAAACCTATCAAATACGTTGTATTTTTCTAATGGAGAGATTTGACATCTATCGTGTGATGATATTGCTGAAAGTATGGGGCATGTGATAATGTCTAAAATTTATTTGCACCCTACGTAGACATGAACAAATGCAAGATATGTATTTTTCATAAACATTTATCTCTTAATGATGATTAAAAGATGTGTTCTAACAGGTAAGATGCTATATCTAGCTCCCATTTGGCCATAATTTTTGGCAAATCTTTTTTTTTTTTTCAAAATAAATTTGTAAACTTTGTTCATGGAACATTATCAGATTTTGAAGAAATTTTGAATTTTTTTTCAAGTTTCCAAGAACTGGCAGTTTTTGGGTACCTTGCTTTTACTGTTCCAATATTGCTTAAAATAAAACAAATAGTGGATTAGTTTCGTCTTTTGTTGAATCTTTTTCACAGTTCGATAGATTATTTGATAAGTCACTTCCACTCATAAAATTTTAATTTTTTTCCAAATAAAATACATAACATAAATTCAACTTTTAATATTATTTTTTAATATAATTTTGTTATTTTTTAAATTTGAATCAAATTTATGTCTAAACGCTAGCGTAGTTTAAAGGGAAAAGGCCTAAATATGTCATTGTACTTGCCGAAATGACCTATCCATGCCACTCATTAATAGTTGGGCCTATTGGTGCAATGGACGTTACAACATTGGCCTATCTGTGCCACTATTGTTAACGGACAACTCGTCAGGTATTAAAAAAAAAAAATTAATTTTCTAATACTAGTTTTGACACGTGTCAACTACCTAGACCACCACATAACTTGACCCCACTTCCCACTCTAACCCCAATTACCCAACTATCCCAATCCCATTTTTTTTTACCCGATACTAATTCCCCCCAAAATCCCAAACCCTTACTTCATATCAGCCAACTAAAGTGAGTATTATCTCTGGACCAACAGGAAAGGATGTGGACGCTTTACGGTAGAATAAATGAAAAAAAATGAATAAAAACAGTACTAGTAAAATAGAATCTCAAAGAAGTAATTGAGAGGTTAATTTGATAGAAGTTAATGATGTTCCTCCCCTGTTGGCTGTTACTTATATGCTCAAATAACGTGATTTTTCATAGTGCCAACCAACTAGGATATCCATATGTTACAATGTGGTAAAAATTGTGTGGGTAGCCACTTTTTAAAGTAATATTTACTTTTTATCCAGTATTTTTAATGCTTAGCAATAATAGCCACTAGTCTATTAAAATTAATATGAAAAGACTGTGTTACCCTTTCTTCTATCTCTTTCATGTGTTAGGGAGAAGAACTGTGCCGCCGTCTGTGAAACAGAAGGATTTTCCGGTGGCGACTGCCGTGGACTCCGCCGCCGCTGTTTCTGTATTAGGCCATGCTAAGAATGTTACTATATGTTATATATATAAACTTAATTTGAGAAACTCTTGAATAAGCACTATGATTGTCCAAAGATTAACGTGCTAGTTTTGTTACTAATTAAACTAGTCGTGATCTTTGATCGTATGCAATTATGGTAGTAGATGTATTTCGGTTTGGATTTTTGTGATGCATATTTGGTTTTCTGCTACGTTATGGATCCTGAACTTACAATTACAAGTTCAAAAGTTAAGGACACTTGGTCCTGAACTTCGAGTTCCAAGTTCAAAAGTTAAGGACACTTGGTCCTGAACTTAGAGTTACAAGTTCAAAAGTTAAGGATAAGTAGTCCTTAACTTAGAGTTACAAGCACAGAAATTAAGGACAGGTGGTCCTGAACTTCAAGTTCCAAGTTCAAAAGTTAAGGACATGTAGTCCTGAAGTCCTGAACTTAGAGTTACAAGTTCAAAAGTTAAGGACACTTGTCCTGAACTTTATGAGCATAAGGGTATTTTCGTCTGGCAGGTAAAGTTTATTAAAGTAGTGGCTAAAGACTAAAGATATTTTAAACAGTGGCTTAAAAGTAAATATATGTGTTATTAGTGGCAAACCGTGCACTTCCCCCCAATCAATAACTGAGGCTAAGGACCCGTCTGACCATAGATTTTGCCAAAATAAACTTGAGTTTTATTTGACAAACACATGTTTGGTCATAGATTTTGCCTATATTTTGGCAAAATCCCAAATCCCTAATCCCAAAACGAGCTCAATAGCTGGTTTTGGGCCAAATCCCTAATGAAGTGCGCAGACTTGGTCAGCCGATCCACAATCACCCAGATAACATCGAACTTCTTCAAAGTCCGTGGGAGCCCAACTACAAAGTCCATGGTGATCCGCTCCCACTTCCACTCTGGAATATCCATCTGCTGAAGCAAGCTACCCGATCTCTGATGCTCATATTTCACCTGCTGACAATTGAGACACCGAGCTACAAATCCCACAATATCCTTCTTCATTCTCCTCCACCAATAATGCTGTCTCAAATCCTGATACATCTTCGCGGCACCCCGATGGATGGAATACTGCGAGCTATGGGCTTACTCCAAGATCAACTCCCGAAGCCCATCTACATTGGGCACGCATATCCGGCCCTGCATCCTCAATACCCCATCATCACCGATAGTCACATCTCTAGCATCGTCGTGCTGAACTCTGTCCTTAAGGACAAGCAAATGAGGATCATCATACTGGCGCTCTCTGATGCGATAAAATAAGAAAGACCGAGAAATCACACAAGCCAATACCCAACTGGGCTCTGAAATATCCAACCTCACGAACCGATTGGGCAAGGCCTGAACATCAACTGCAAGAGGTCTCTTCCCAGCAGGAATATACGCCAAACTCCCCATACTCACCGCCTTCCTACTCAAAGCATCGGCCACTACATTGGCCTTCCCCGGATGGTACAAGATAGTAATATCATAATCCTTTAGTAGCTCCAACCATCTCCACTGCCTCAAATTGAGATCCTTCTGCTTGAACAAGCGCTGGAGGCTACGGTGATCAGTAAATACCTCACAAGACACACCATACAAATAATGCCTCCAAATCTTCAACGCGTGAACAATGGCAGCCAACTCTAGATCATGAACATGGTAGTTCTTCTCATGGGGCTTCAACTGAAGAGAAGCATAAGCAATCACTCTACCCTCCTGCATCAACACACACCAAATACCAACTCTCGAAGCATCACAATACACTGTATATGAACCTGAAGCTGATGGAAAAACTAATACTAGAGCTGTGGTCAAGGCAGTCTTGAGCTTCTGAAAGCTCACCTCACACTCATCCGACCACCTGAATAAAGCACCCTTTTGAGTCAATTTGGTCAAGGATGATGCAATAGATGAAAATCCCGAAACGAACCGACAGTAATAACCCGCCAACCCAAGAAAGCTGCGAATCTCTATGGCTGAGGACGGTCTGGGCCAACTCTGAACCACCTCTATCTTCTTCGGATTAACCTGAATACCCTCACTAGACACCACGTGCCCAAGAAAGCCACTAAACTGAGCCAAAACTCACACTTGGAGAACTTTACATAAAGCTTCTCCTCCCTCAATCTCTGCAACACAACTCTCAAATGCTCCGCGTGCTCCTCCTGACTACGCGAGTACACCAAAATATCATCAATGAACACAATCACGAACGAGTCGAGGTAAGGCCGAAACACGCTGTTCATCAAATGCATGAACGCTGCTGGGGCATTGGTCAGCCCAAAAGACATCACAAGGAACTCATAATGACCATATCGGGTCCTGAAAGTTGTCTTAAGAATATCCGAGTCCCTGATCTTTAGCTGGTGATACCCTGAACGGAGAGCAATCTTGGAGAACACTCTCGCTCCCTGAAGCTGGTCAAATAAATAATTAATGCGAGGCAAAGGATACTTGTTCTTGATTGTAACTTTGTTCAACTGCTTGTAATCAATGCACATCCTCATCGTGCCATACTTCTTCTTCACAATAGAATAGGCGCACCCCACGGTGGCACACTAGGCCGAATAAACCCCTTATCAAGGAGTTCCTGAAGCTGCTCCTTCAACTCTTTCAGCTCCGCCGGTGCTATACGATACAGTGGAATAGAAATGGGCTGAGTGCCCGGCACCAAATCAATACCAAAGTCAAATATCCCTGTTCGGTGGCATGCCCGGCAGGTTTGCAGGAAACACATCGGGAAAATCCCTCACAATAGGAACAAAATCAATACTAGGAGTCTCTGCACTGACATCCCTCACAAAGGCTAAGTATGAAAGACAACCTTTTCCAACCATCCGCTGGGCCTTCAGAAATGAAATCACCGTACTGGGGATAAAATCAGTCGAGCCTCGCCACTCAATCCGTGGCACACCCGGCAAAGCCAACGTCACTGTCTTAGCATGACAGTCCAATATAGCCCAACACGGAGATAGCCAATCCATGCCTAATATCACATCAAAGTCCACCATACTAAGCAACAAAAGGTCCACTCGGGTCTCCAGACCCCCAATAGTCACCACACACGATCGGTATACACGGTCCACAACTATAGTATCGCCCACCGGAGTAGATATACGGACAGATGAAATAAGAGACTCACGGGGCATATCCAAATAATGAGCAAAATATGATGACACATAGGAAAAAGTGGAACCAGGATCAAATAATACAGAGCCATCTCCGTGGCAGACTGAGACAATACCTGTAATCACAGCATCTGAAGCAATAGCATCTGGTCTGGCTGGGAGTGCATAGAAATGGGCCTGACCACCACCTGATCGACCTCCCCCTCTGGGGCGACCCCTAGCTGACTGACCCCCACCTCTAGCTACCTGAGCGGGTGGTGAAGTAACTGGAGCTGAAGTCGAGGGCCGACCCCTCTGCTGAGACGGACCCTCAAGAAGACGAGGACACTGCCTCCTTATATGTCCAAACTC